AGCTCCCTCCGCTCCTCCCTCAGCGCCTGCTGTCCGCGGCTGCGGCGGCTGCCGGGGCTTGCGGGGCTCCCGACTGTGCTGCTTGGACACCCGCTCCGCCCCTGGGGCTCCTGTGGCTCCTGCGAGCCTCGGCGCGGGTCAGCACCGGCTCCTCGGACCAGTCGCGATTTCGGCCTCGTCCTGAGAGCCCTGAAGGTCCACAGGGAAGCAGCGGACACGGAACGCAGCGTTTCGGTTCTTACAAGCGCTCCAAAGCGCTTCCCAGCTCCTCTTGTGGCAGCATAAAGTCAAATACTCGGGGGTGTAAACGGGCAGGTAGGTAGAAATGTGAAAGCTGTGTTGTTAATGCACAGTTATTTATAAATATATATGCGTATGATATATAATAGGAGCAATGTTTGTAAAAGTTTTGTTCCGTTTGATTAAAGAGCGTTTGTTTCTAGATATAAAATCTTTGAAGTCGTAACTAGTGTTTGAGACTTCTGCAGCCTATAGAAATCCTTGAGTTTAAGTAGCTGTAAGTAGTTTGTCTTGTTACTGCTGTTAAAAGAGGGATCAGCTGACCTCGGCTAATGTTCTGGTTGTTGTAATGTTTTTCTTTTTCACACCATGATCTTTGTTATGACCGTCACTTTCTTCACTGTATCCAGTTAAAAAAAATCTGGTGATGAGTGGATGGTTATGTAATTGTGTATACTTCCTTTATTCGTTAATTAAGTTTTTAATGCAAAATGTGCTTTAGATGTTGTTTTCTTACGTGTGTTATAAAGGCACTGCTTCCTATGAAATAAACGAATAAAATTTTATTTCCCCCCTTTGCTTTTTACTGAGCGATGTTAGTGTGAAACTTGCACATAGAGTAGGCGTGGTTTAAAAAATCACAAAACTAAATGTTGGGCTTTTCCTTGCCAAAAATATTAGCACATTAGCTTTGATGTACATAATGTCTTTTACAGACTTCTGAATGTGTTGTAGTTAGGCTGAATGTCAGATTATTATTTTTCTTGAAAACTGTTTTGAGGTTTATGTTTTTAATTATTGGTGAAACGTCTTTGCAATTTGTGTCTCTTTATTGCTGTTTACTCTGAAGGCAGATTGTGTTAGGAGCAGCTGTGCCTCGTCTGCTCAGGTGAGTCATTAGGTCAATTGGTCAAAGCTGGGTTCCATTTTTGTATCTGACTGCAATTGGTTTTCACCTGTGGAGCAGCTTGTTCTATTACAGCAAATGTAAAACAGCTGGATGCACTCCTGGATCGAATAATGACTAATTAAAAAGGTTCTTAAAGCCTTTGACTTCATTAGATGCTGATTAAACTTCTGTCTCTGGAGACTGTGCAATGCTCTGTATCTTAAAACAATTGCCTAATGTTACATTTGTATTTTTAAAAAGCTGATTCCTTGTTTGTTCCTGAGAAAAATCCTTGTTTTGTTTTATGAAGTAACAGTGGTTCTGAGAAATGGACGAGAGCACTTTTCAAGCTTATGAAGAAGAAATCCAGGCACTGGAAGAAGAAATTAGGTTGTTGACAGAAAAGTATGAAGATATCCGACAAGAATCCACCTTCTTTTCTGAGGAGGAGATACTGAAGTCAATGTATGCCTTTTTATCATTTTTCCCATTTGTTAGATTAATAGGATTTCTTTGTCAAAATTGCTTGGGATAAGCTTTTTCCTCTATGTTAGGACTTTCCCTATGTTGGTAAATGTAAATTCTGTGGGTAAAATATGTCACTTAGATGAGTACAGGCATCTTAGTTCCCTTTTCTTGCATGTTTTTGCATGTTTCTCAAAATGGACACTTCCACCTGTGTGCCTACCTGGCAGTGAATAGAAGGGTTTATGTAAGTTAGAATAGTTTACTGTTTCCAGCAATGTGATCTGAAACTTGACTCTTTAAAAACTGATTTGGGTCTGAAAACCATCAGACCCCATTACCAATGCCTTTTATTTACTGATATTGCTGTACTGATATGTTATTTCTAGGTATTTTCCCCTTTTGATTTTTTTTTTTTTTTTCCATTCTAGAAAATCATTCCAAAGGGAAACTCAGGGAGAAACCAGGGGACATGAATCTCCATCAGACCTGAAAGCTCAGCTTGAAAGTCTAGAAACAGATCTCTCATTTTTAATGGAGCTTACTGGGTTTCATTTCACAAGTCATTCCAAGAAAACAGTGGAAAAAAGTAAGCAATTTTGTGCCCTTTATTGAGCATACTGGTTGCAGGTCATCTGCAAACCTCTGTTCTAATTCACTGTTAGCTGAAAGACAATTACTTTAAAATACAATAGGATTTGGTTCATTGACAGAATATTTTCTGAGTAAATATTGCCCTTAATGGGAAAATGACAGACTACTGTTGTGCTTTGCACAGAGGGAACATGGAGTTAGTTGTTGGAGTTTTTTAACACTTTAAACTTCTTTACATGAGGAGTGGTAATAGTTGGTACTTTAAATATGACTAAAGGAAGAAATGCAGTAGTCATTGAATAGAAGTGTAATTGATTATTTTGCTAACTTGATTTTATAACAGCTAGAGACAGGACGGTGCAGAAGCATAGATTATCAGGGAAGTGTTACTCCTTCTCTTTTCAACTGGAATTCCAGCTTCTTGAAATGCAGGTAAGGGTCAATGTATGTTTTTAAAAAAAAAAAAATTATAAAATAAAACTTCAAATGGACAAATGTCAGTGCTTCCTTTTCCAGCTGAAATCTTCAACTGTTTAATCTAAGTTGCAGTGGTATTTTTGGCTCTTTAACATCTGGACCCAACTTTGGAATTCTGTGTGCATCCAGGCGAGATAGTTCTGAAGGCCAGGTTTTGTGTTTAGCCACAAAATAGTTACCACAGAATTATTTAAGTTGGAAAATCTAACCTGCAGGATGCTCTTGCACTTGCTGTCCTTCAGCTCTGCCAGGTGCCTGCTGGGCCCTTTGACCCAACTCAGCTTTGAAGTTGTGTTTTTTTAATTTAATGTGATGGCACTGAGAGTGAACAGCAAAGATGTCCTTCCTATTCCTTAGAAAAAACACATTATGAATTTGGGAATTATGAATGATGTGTTTTTATAATTATAAGTTATAAAACTGCATTATGAATTTATGAATATTTAGACAGCCACGCATGGATTTTATCCTTTGAAACTGCAAGAGTTCAGCTGAATGAGAAACCACTGAAGTCTATTTGTGACTTGAAACTTGTGGTCTTCATGATGCCTCTTTACATTTACTTGTATAAAACTGCACTTGGAATGTTTCTTAGCTGCATCTCCTGCAGCATGATGATATCTTTTTGTGCCAGTGGGGCTCAGAGGGGTTACTGGGTGTTAAGTTTACTGCCAATGGTATTGGTGCTTAAAGCCATTGCACCACTGAGTGGCAGCACTTGGCTGCCTAATGTCTAAAATTTGGGCTACTCTGAATGTTGATCGGAGGGAATACCAGGTGTATATATACTTAAAAATCCTCACTTCAGCTGTAAAAGTATAGTTTTGAGCTAATTTTTGCATGAATTGTTTTGTTTGCTAGAAGTACATGGTATGACATTAGCATGGACAAGGTAGTGCAGTTATAACCAGTTTCACCTGTCCTGAGGAGTAAAAGGTGACAGCTGTTTTTGGGAAGGGCCCAGCAGGTAACAGGTCTGTTGGTATGCAGCAGAAGATCAGGAATATTTTTTTTCACACTGTTAACTGTAGCTATTTATTCTAGTAGTGAAGACACCCTAGAGTTAACTCAGTTCCATGGTATTAGGAGAGGACATGAGCTTAAAAATCAGCAAAAACAAGTCTAAGCCTTTTGGGAAAGCAATCATTTAAATAGAGTTTCTTTCTTGCCCAGAGCTTTCCTTTTAAATCTTTTTATTTGGCCTCACAATGGCATTTTGGCATGTTAGTTACCCACCCCCCCCACACTGGCAAACCAATCCCTTCAGAAGGTGGCACATTAGCTTGTGACTTCTTGCAGCTTCTCCACACCTCCATCACCTTGTTGAACCTAGTGCTCTAAACCTAAAATGATTTTTCGTGATGTTATTTAGTACATCCACTAATCCCTGTAGTGCCTTGCTTTGCTTTTCCTATCTTTAGATTTCCATCTGATGGCAGTGTTAGCATGGCTTCTGTCCAAGCAATACAGGGATTGCTGAAATGTGTGTGCAGTCCTCTCTTGTCATTCCCATTTTCTTGTAGTGAGTTGGTGTAAGAAGTTTCAAGTGAGGCATTTCCTATGGTCTTCAAACCATGATTTTAAGCTTTTTCATTCACTGTTATCTAATCCATTACTTTGGTGTGTTCAAGAATGTGTAGAAAAGAGAATTAACTTATTTTGTGGCTTCATTTCTACTCTGACCAGTAGAAATGTTCTCATTCTTTAACAGCTTATTAGTTAATTTAGAATAATTTTATTATCTTGTACATATTTCTGAGTAACAGCAATTGCAAAAAAGGACAATATTTTGAGACAAAACTATAGGGTTCAAAATTTAAAAACCAGCCCAAAACTAACAGATAAAACCTCATATGTGAAATTTTTGATATATGTGGCAGCTAAAGGTTGTGTTAGAAAATGAGAAGAATCTTAAAGAAGTGGGATTGATGTTAAAGGATGTAATGACCCTTCCTTTATACGTATATAGTCTCTATGCTGACAAACTCGGGTATTATTCCAAAAGCCTTGTGCAAATAATAATACTACTCTTAAAATGAAAGAAAGAAACTGTTCACACACACAAAACATAGTTTAAAAATTGCTGTTTTAAGGATTATAGTACTTACCAGCATTTATATCTACCTTTTTCTATTTTTTTAATATATAAACAGACATTTTTCTCCTTGCCAGAGAAACTTCTAAAATATTTTGTTGTTACTTCTCCAATCTAGAACAATGAGAAAGTGTCTGCTGTTGTTAGTGATCTCAGCATTATAATGGAATCCAGAGAAGATTCAAATATGAGCAAGTTTGTTTCAAGGTAAGATGGAATTTTTTGCTCAAGGCAAGTTATTGTTTGGAATATGAGATACTAAATGCAGTACTGAGTTCTTATGTAAATTGCTGGCAGTCAGTGTCTTTATGTGACGTGTCCTGAGCCCAACCTAAACACTTCCTATCCCTCATCTGTATCCTGAAGATGAAAGGCATGGGATTTTCAAGATCTGGAAGGATCATTACAAATTCAAGTTAAACAGAGCCAGGCTTTGGATTATAGCGTGTTTTAGCTTTTTGAAGAGAAAGGTAACATGGTAATCTCGGCTACTGCACTTTAATTAATTAAATTAATTTAATTGTTCCTCAGATGTGTATGTAAGCTGCAGATGTGCAGTGTGGGTAATGCCTAAAGTGCACATCCAGAACCCCTCTCCAGTATTTGCCTGTTTCTGATTCTCAGTTCTCAATTCCTTTTCTCTTATTGGCATCAGGATTTATTTCACTAATATCTGAAAAGTATATAATTTAAAAACATGAAATAGTGTATCTGTACAATGGTTTAAGAAAATTAGCATACTAAAATTTAAATGTTAAATGAATGCCGTTTTTTATTATTTTCTGGAGTATGCCAACTTCTTGTGGTAACATTATGAGTAAATGATCAAATTATTTGTCTGCAGTATTCCACTGAATTTCGCTAGGAAGCTGTTCTGAGAACAAATCTATTATCACTGAGTAGTTGATTTAATTCTTCTTTTTTGTTTCTTTTGTCTTCTGTTATTTTTTTGGTCTTGGGGAGGGAGAGGAAGGCCCAACAGATGGGTGAAGGG